TCCCCCTCACTGATGAAGACCTTCAAGCCATTGATTCCGCGATTAGCTCAGCCGCGGCTCCTAAGCGCCATCTTCTCTGTCCCGGCGACCAACAAGGCGGCTCCGTCGCCTCTCCTCCCAAAACCCGCCGCCGATTGCCCGATTCTCTCTTCGTTCCGAAATAATAGTAGTTCAACCTCTTCCTTCTCAAACCATGAAAGAGCTAATCGCTGCCTCTCTACTTATCAAGGTAACTGCATTTCATTTTCTCTAACTCACATTTCTACGGTTGGCTATTTGTTTCTTAGTTTTTGAACACGCTGCACCAGTTGGTTTGGTGCGTGCTAATATTTTCCTTCGGAAAGTGTGATTGTGAATTTTCCTCACGAATTCGGTATGATTATATTTTTATTTATTTCGCTTACGAATGGGTTTTATTCAATAGGCATATAGCTTTTGCATTCATTAATTATTTTATAAAGTTGTGTTTTTTTATATTTTTGGTTTGTAACCTTTGTATATAAATGACAAATGTGATGCTACTTCTGCATCAATGCATATTCTTGCATTATGCAGTTGAAACTATGCCTTTCTTGATGATGTGATCAGTATGAAAATTCTATCTTGCTTCGGGGAATTAAGGGCACTGTTTGTGTTCTTTGGTTGTTCTACATCAGTTCTGTTACTGGAAAGTAAAACCTTGAATCAAGAGTATGAGAAATGAAAACTCGGAAAGATGTTTGGTATTGGTTTTAATTGTTGCATTGCTGAATTCATGAACTTATTTCCTTTTTCCTTTCCTTTTTACAAGAAAATATGCCCTTGTGATAAGTTATATAATGCCCTTTGAGTCTCTTTTATCAAGCTGACATGGAATATGCTGCCGATAATGATTTAGCCAAAATGCAAAGTGTTTAACGGATTCTTATCAGGATGGTTAGTTTTTTGAGTTGTAGAGAGCTGCTTTTACAAAATGCCAAAGCCTTCAGATAAAAAAGGACAACTAGCATGGTCATTGTTCGTAATTTCATGTTTATGGGTTAGCACTTAGCATCTAGATCGTTCTTCTATTTATATATGTATTCGTTCAACACTGTACTAATTAATGAGAATTCAGTTTTGCAGAACCAGAAAATCATGTTCTGTTTTTCTTACGTGCGAAAATTAAACAATCAACTTTGTGCCTGCACCAAATTGGATATTGTCATTGTTATTGTTCTTTCATTCATTTATTCTTCCTTGTGCATAGACGTAAAATATGGAGGCCGTATTATATATAGTAGAACAGTACAAGAGGTGGAAAAGGCTGCAGAAGAGCTTCTAGATTTTGTGGAAACTAAGAAAAGAAAGGAGGGCGAGTGCATCCTTGGTATTGATATTGAGTGGAAGCCGTCATTCATAAGAGGTATTCCAATTTAATAAGTACATAAATTTAGATCAAGCTGGAGTACCGTCCATGACTACATACAACATTGTGTTTAACCTAGAACATTTGCCCTAGAGATTAAATTACTGAATATTATGATACCTCCATTCTCATATGAAGACACACCAGTGCATCTTGACTAACTATCCATTTCTTGCAATCAGGTTTTATTTAAATAACTTCTACTGGAAACTGCTCATGATAGTTATGTATTTTGTCCCGAATCCATCAACCGCTGACTGATAATTGATCATTCAAACCTTCTATTTTGCTGCTCACTAATAACTGACTCATACCTTGTCTTTCACTTATTTTATATATTATATAGGATTATAATATTTATTGACTTCAACTAATGACGTAGCGAAAGCGTAAACGAACGGGAGAATTGAGAGAGAACTCTCGTATTTTCTTAATTCAATCAAAATTAACCAATTCTTCAAACAATAGAATAAAAGTCTTAAATAGGACTTCTAAGAAACCTATTTACCATAAACATAGGACTCCTAAGAAACTTACTTACCATAAATCCCTAATAAATTTTCCTACCAAATAAAATACTTGAATAATTAAACTCCTTAAAGAATAATAAAACAAAAAGAATAAATAATTAAACTAAAGATGCCAAACAATTTCTGGAAAGCCAACGCAATCTCATTTTCCCCCTTGTGAAAAAAATTCGCTCGAATCTGATGCAATATTATTTCCTTCACCTTCCCCCTCAGAGGAAAAGATTTGACCTCGAATTTGATGCAATCTCATCTCCATTCATCTTATGTTGAATATCACTGCATTGATACATCATCACAAAACCATATGTAATCTTCATCCCCAATCTTGCCTCCATAAATCCATCCCCTCCGCTTTCCCAATGGGCAAGAACTTCTCCATTTTAGCAGCGTAATTTATAGTGTCGATAACCTCGTCATCAAAAAGAGGCAGACCCTCATATTCGGTCGACCACTCGTCATAAAAAAGAGGTGGACCCTCATATTCGGTCGACCCTTGATCATCCTCAATGTCCCCTGAAAAGTTGGGGATGTCGATCCTAAAAAACGACTCCCATCGTCGATTGTCTGTGATCCGCCCGTCGTCCCGTGCTGCGAAAGTGCTGAACATACTCACTTCAGAGATGGTGTCTTCTTGATCCTCGTCCCCAAGAGACGATCGGGAGCGGGGCGCTCTGCGAGTACCTCGACCACGTCCACCGCGAACCCTCGCGGCCGCCACGTACTCCATACGATGTGCGTTTCGTACGACCGTCGTGGTCAGTAGCACGTTGGGCCATCCTCAGTTTCTCGACCACCATGGTCAGAGCCACGACTTGGTGGCTCAATGCCTCGATCGCGACGTCGCGGTTATCGTCCGCAGCGTCGTTCCGTTTGGCGGCATACTATACCAACTGGAGAATTGAGAGAGAACTCTCGTGTTTTCTTAATTCCGTCGAAATCAAGCAAATCTTCAAACAATAGAATAGAAATCTTAAATAGGACTCCTAAGAAACCTACTTACCAAAAACTAAGGAATCCCTTAAATAATACTCCCTCCTTTTCAAAATAAGTGTCGTTTTGACTTTTTTGATTCATCCATTTTACTATGTATCTAGACATATATTTTTATGTCTAGATACATAGTAAATTATGTCTAGATACATAGTAAAATGGATGAATCAAAAAAGTCAAAACGACACTTATTTTAAAAAGGAGGTAGTAATAAAATATAAAGAGTAAATAATTAAACTAAAGTAATGATGCCAAACGATCATGTTTGTCTAGAAAGCCAACGCAATCTCATCTTCTCTTCCTACGCAATCTCATTTGATCAACTAATGTGCAGGTGACATTATTGATTCCTTCAAAAAAGTTTAAGAGTGATCATCATACTTCTTGTTTTTTCATGTTTTCTTTGATATAATTTCCCGATTGTGTCTTCAGGTCCATAGTTAATCTGACTTCAATATTAAACCAAAATGTCTATCCTTCATCAAGCTTAGCAACCTGCATTGTAACACCCCGCCTGCAACCTGCATTGTAACACCCCGCCTAAACTTACTAAAATCAGAGTAAATTTTTGAAAACTCGTACTAATTTTTCGAAAATACTTTAACTTTAATATGCGGGATGCTACTCAACTTAAATCTTAAATCTTTAATCTTAAATATCTTTAAACAACTAGGCATGCAACCGAGAATAATTCATTACTCTGAATATCTCAGGATTTAAGCATGCATAAACTAAAATTCTAGATACTGAAATACTGAGTGCGGAAGCAAATGTAAGTATGCGTCAACAAAGCATAATAACTCAAACATGCTAAAAATGACATGTTTACTAAAAATATCCTTGCTATGACCACCACCACATCATCGGCTCACGCTCCACGCTCGACACCGTCACCTGAAAAATGGTTAGTGGGGGGCGTGAGCATAAATAATCCACGTGCTCCGCCAGAACCGACACTGAAATATACAGCTAATATAATAGCATATCATGACATCGACATATATGCAAGTACATAATGGTTCGGAAGAAAACGATATGACGATGAACATTTTACTAACAAATTAGGCATTCAACCAATAAGCACTAAATCGACAAGCTACCTATAGCTGCTACTTAGCTGATTGCCTATAACCGCTGCTCAGCTGACTGTCTATAATTTCTGCTCGACTTGATAACTATAACTGATGCTCAACTGACTGTATATAATTGCTGCTCAACTGACTGCTATAATGGGTACTCGACTGGCTAACTATAATTGTTGCTCAACTGACTAACTATAACTGCAACATCACGAACTAAACATACATATGATATGATAAGCACATCCCAACCTCAGCATACATTTAATATGATAAATCACATCGCAACCTAAGCATACATCTAATATGATAAAACACATCACAAACTAAGCATACAACTAATATGATAGAACACATCACAAATGCGTATAAATAAGAATATTGTCTATAACTGCTACTCAACTACTAATTCTAATAGCTGCTCAATGGACTGCTTAACGGCGTGAAGAACACTAGGTCTTCACGCTCACGATAAGCAACTGCAGGACCTAATCTGTAGGTCGTTGCCCGTGCTAGGGCAAAACTAACTCTTATGCACTTCTAAGATTGGAGTTTAACTCATAACTGCACTAGAGTCCTTGATACTAACTGAAGATTCGAAACACTTGGTTATGACGAAACATATCTCTAGATCAAAGACCCTTAGGGAAGGATTATTCTAAGATCATCTGAAGACTGAAATTAAACTTAACTCAAGGCTGCTCTAGGGTTCTGAATTCACTTAATTCAAAGTTGCGCTATAATTCTTATCTCATCTTAACTAGCGTTCGATTCACCTAGCTAGAAAGGATCTACTCGCTAGGTAGTTGCCCCTAATCGGGCAGAATCTTACATACATACCTCAACCATGGTATTGCGATTATAGAAATGTAATACCCAGTACAGGGTCCCCACCTGATATGCTGAAATGCAAGATCTGAACGGTTTGCAGCTGTCGGAGGCTTGACTCTCCACAAGCTACAAAATATATAAGCACAAAATATATTCTAAGTACTTATCTTAAACTGAAAACTCGAATTATATTATCTGAGGTGTCTAGGTTCGCTCACTCGGCTTTAAAATCATTTTAGGGATTCGCGAGCTGATTTTGAAAATTTATTGTCTTTGAGGCATTCTAGAATTCTCTGCAATATTTCTAAGTCTGGAACTATAATCTGAATTAATCTAATCTGACTAAAATCTAAAATATATTTGGATCTTTAATCTATCTGGAATCTTGACTTTATCTGGAATCTTAACTATATCTGAAATCTTAAATATATCTGAAATCTTAAATATATCTGAAATCTTAATCTGACTGAATCTAAAATTTATCTGAAGTTCTATTTGAAATATATCTCGAACCGTTCGGACTGACCGGACCGGTTCAACTGAACTGGACCGACAGCTTACTCGGAGCTGGTCGGTCATCCGCTTGATTATGTGCAGCTCGGTTTGACCGTGGCCCGGGTTCGGCGTGGCAACTCGGGCCGGCACAAGCTCGACTGACACGGCTTGACCGATGCACGGTTTGGAACGGTGCCACGGTCACTAACGCAGGGGCGTGCTTGGACCACGGCTAACTGAAACAATGCGTAAACGGTTGATCGGATGGACTCGGTGCACGGGCACGCACTCGAGGGTTTGACTCGGACTCGGTGCACGGGCACGCACTCAGCGATTTGGCTCCAATGGTCGGATGAGAGTCGAGCACGTGTGCGGGGCGACGATACGCATTACGAATTAACGATACGACGGCTAAAGATTGTCCCGACGGTACTAGGGTTCGGGCGGTTAAACTCGGATTCGAAATAATACCCGGTTATCAAAACCAGATAAAACTAGGGTTCATGATTCTCGAGAATCCTAACTCAATTAAGGCCGATATTTAAAACATAATTTTTACGTGACTTACATAAAGAATTTATAATCAACAATTGCAGCTAAAATCATATCGACTAAAGTCCCTATTTTTAGTTTATATCTAATGGTGTCCGAACATTACGAAATTCGAAACACACCATTTTCAACACCTACATGGTCCATGGTCAAAATATCGAGTTAAAATTCAACTCCTAACCCATTCAACTCTCAATCGCTTCAACCGGTCAAAACGCTCAAAAATCTTGTTCTCCTATCAAACGAACTCTAAAATTTTCTCGAATTTTCACCTAAGCCTCAAGACAATCCAACAAAATTTATAAAATTGAAATCGGTATTTTATCCATTTCCGATAATAAAATCAAAAATATCCACTTCAAGCTCGAAAAATCCCAGTAATTCAAAATCGCTCAAATCACCCAATTCATTAGTTTTATATTTACTCATTAATCTCAACTAAGCCATTGGAGTCATGTTCAAGCCATTTTACCTCATATCGGCTCGAATTGGAGAAATCGAAAATAAATCGAGCCACATA